GGCCTCATCCACATCCACCTGCTTTATCGAGAGAAGCTTAAGGCTCTCAGCATCACCGCCATTGCTGACATCCCGAAGCGTCGAGGGAAGCAGATGATCCAACTGATTACCATCAGGCACCAGAAAAACAAGCGCCATTGTTGCCATCCTCAACAGATTCCTCACAAAAACCACAATCCATAAGTTTTCGAAATCAGATCTGGTCACATGGAACAGACTCAACAGCACACCTCCCCCCGTCTTCGATCCCAGCGAACCCAAACTATCGATGCACATCAAAAGAGCAAAGAAGGTACCTTCGATGCCCGCCGGGCAGAGTCTGGTGCTGAGCACGATCATCGGCATCCATCGAATCCGGCTAATGGCTCGGCTGACGCATTCCTCCAGGACGACGAAGATGTAGTCTGGGATTCGAAGTTGGAGGTTCCAGCGGAGGATGAAGATGAGATCAAGCATTCCGGATGCGCTGTAGAGGAGCTGGGAGTAGAAGATTAGGCTTCTGAAGGGATAGTTTTTGAGGAGTTTGTGGTAGATTAGAACGCCTACTATAGAGGCGATTGCTCCAATGGCGTAGATGATTCCAACGAATCCCTGCATTCCGATGAACTAATTTAAGATACAATGTAATACAAGTCTAAATGAAAAGTGAAAAAAATGGGAAATTTACATGACTATGATTTTACTATGTCACACCCAAACTCCCATTTTTTACGAACCAAGGATTTCACCAATCCCCAATAGTAAAATTCACATTTTTATCCATAGATTGGGCACTTGACTTGTAAAAAAAGAGAGTTTGGGTGCGAGATAAACTCATAAGAATTGGGTGTTCTTTATGTAAATTTTTGAAAAAAATACTATGGACTTTACTGAAAACCTATATTAATTTTATGATATTCATGAGGTTTTTGTTATAGTTTATGCATGCATCGTCTTTTTATAGGAAATGTATAAATTTTATAGTCAAAAGGCGATGGTTCAAATCATGACGGATCAGATGCCCTGATCACTGAAAATTAGGTGGCTCCAATATCAGTCAGCAACAGTCATTCCAAATGGTTGGAATTCATAGAGTGGGCAACTGGACGCATTTACCACAGTCAAGGAAGTGAAGTAGGACGAGTGATCGAAGCAGGGGGTGACCGAGGCTGGACGACGAAGGTCGAGCGCTCGAGGTTGGGCGCTGTAGTTGTTCTATTAAAGCTTAACGCTCAAAGGTGGGGTGACTTAAGGCGAGCATCTAACAATGAGAAGGTAAAGCCAAGCATCCGTAGTCGATGCTAGAATATAATCGCTTGGAACCAAACGTTTTGCCATCGCATATTAAGGATCCAACTCGAGGCCGACTTCTTTCAGAACCCCGGGTATAAGATAATTGTGACAAGAATATGAGGGATCCACAGCGTTTTGCCATCGCATATTAACGATCCAACTCGAGGCCGACTTCTTTCAGAACCTCGGGTCATGATAAGATAATTGTGACAAGAATATGAGGGATCCACATCTAAGCACTTATGGCGGGACAAACTCAAATACATCATTTTATGAGGGCCAACTACTATTAATAGAGGAAATTAAATGTAAGCTTCCTTTGGTGTGATTCAAAGATAAAATTGAGTTCAACATAAACTTTGTAATGTTCTTTGGATAGTGTTATTTGTAATTCCAGACAATTTGTAGAATTGAAATAAAAGAATTTAATGTTGATAAGTGTCATTGAATGATTAAGATTAATTTTTAAAATTTAACACCTATAATCATAAATTGGTAAAATAATTTGCCATTTTTTAAATAGTAAAGTAGGGCAGATCTTAAAGATAAATTGGTAAATTTTGGGGGAGGGGAAATGTGAATCGAAAATTGAAAATAATTGTGCCTACAAGTTTATATTATTATAAAATATAAAATAAAAAAATGGTCTCAAAATATCAAAAAATAAAATTGATGCACCATCAACAAGTTTTGCCACTTGGCACTAGGGGTGTAAATGAGTGAGCCGACTCGAGCTCGGTGTTCGTTAACGAACTCAAGAGCCGAGCTTATCGAGCAAAGAGCTCAAGCTCGAGCTCAAACTTGAGCTCTTTTACCAAACGAGCTTGAGCTCGTCCCCGCTCAGCTCGTTTGCTCGCGAGCAGACTTGATTAGCTTACCGCTAGTCATTTCGGAGCATTTTTGGTGAGTTGCCGCTGCATCATCACCCTCTTTTGGCCACCCAAACATTCTCTGACAAACTCGTAAAAAATTCAAATTTTATTTCGAGTTCACAAGTCGGCTACTACCACAACGAGCCTAGCTCGAGCTCACAATTTGACAAACAAGCTGAGCTCGAATTTGGTATGGCTCGAGCTCGACTCCACCACTTACACCCCTACTTGGCATGATTCACAAGGCGCTCGACACGAATCTTGAGGTGCTCGACATGAATGTCAAGGATTTTTTTGCAAGAAAACTTCGAACCCATTAAAAATCATCCAGAGATACAATTTCAGGAAACTTATATTCAAACTGTCTGGCTCAACGAGTCAAACCCAACCACACCAAAATTGACCCAATCTGAGTCTAATCAAGTATGGTTCAAGCCGTTAAGCCACTTTTGGAATATTTGGGTGGCCAATTGGAAGGTCAAACAAATTTCAAGTCTGATAAGCTTATAGTTAAATTGAGAGTCTCGACGAGATGAATCCAGTATGCCTAAGATCACTCAATTCTGATGTCGTTAAGACAATTAAGTGTCCACAAAATGTCATTTGAATGAGGAAATCTATCTAGGCGGTCCATTGACGTTACTGCAGCTCAGCACTACGACTTATGTAACCAATTACAACAAACGTAGATCATAGCTCACACAGCTCTCATCTCCGACCCTTGTGGCCTGCAAACATTATTGCATCTTACCACTATGTCCCATTCAACAAATTATAGTATATGTGGCTCACAGCTCACAACACTCTCAATTCCGACCACTGTGACCTACGAACATTATTGTAACTCATCACTACGGTCTATCAAACCAAATACAACCTATGTGACTCATAGCACACCAACCTTTGTGGCCTTCAAACATTATTGCAGCTCATCATTACGCTCTATGTGGCCAACTACGACTTGCTCGATTCATAACTCATGCAGCTCTCAACTTCGACCACTTTAGCCTGTGGATCATATTGCAACTCGCAACTACATTCCATGTGATCAACTATGGTCTACATGGCTCACAAATCATGCAACTCTCAAATCTGTCGTTTGTGGTTTACGAACGTTATTGCAGCTCCTAACTTCGCCCTCTGTGACCTATAAATGATATTACATATCACCACTACAATCTATAAGACCAACTATGCCCTACGTAGCTCATAGCTCACACAACTCCCAAGTACGGCCTATGTGGCCTATAGACGTTATTACATTTTGTTACTATGACATATGTGACTAACTACGATCTATATGGCTCATAGCTCACACAACTCTCAACTCTAGCCCATATGACCTACAGACATTATTGCAGCTCATCATTACGACCTATATGACCAATTATGACATACATTGCTCATAACTCACACACACCAAACTCTATTCTTTGTAACATATGCTCATAATTGCAGCTCTCAACCACAGACTTTATGGCCTAGGAACACTGTTGTAGCTCACCACTATAGCCTATATGATCAACTACGATCTGTGCGGCTAATATATCATATAACTCCCAACTCTGGCCTCTGTGACCTACGAATATTATCGCAGCTCACCACTACGACCTATGTAATTAACTACAACTTACGTGACTAAAAAATTATGCAACTCCCTATTATGGCCTATATGGCTAAACAACTCTCCTAAAGAAACTATCTATGACATACATGGTCAGGTACTATCATGAGACTCAACCATGATCTATGCAAACAACTAACACTACAACCACCTTCGCAACATTCATAGCAGGATATCACTTTCATAACAATCAACTACGACCTTTGTGGTATGTTATAATTGTCATTGTTGAACTACCATTGTACATCAATATTGTAATTGATTCTTCTCTAATTCAACGGGAGGGTGAGCCTATGCACTTATAATTACATAGTGAATTATTTCAACTATGCTAGGCCCCATAGTAATTTCTCTTTCTAGGGTATTCTGCTTAAAAAATTGAGGTGTCTCCTGCTTACCTTTTTTATTTACGTGTATGTTGTATCTTCATCCAATGCTAAAATGCTAATTTATTACTCTACCCTCGAGAATCTTTTGGCACACAATAATATATCACTAGAGAAATGAAGTCCAGTTTGGCACAGTCTTAAAGTTTAAGACATCGAGCCCTTGATTTATTACATCCTTTGATGTGTGTGTGTGTGTGTGGGGGGGGGGGGGGGCCCGTACCCTTCACTGCAATCTTAAAAGTTTGTTCATGTTAATGTCTCAAGCACAATTGTGGTGGGGCAGTCTTCCCACATCTTATTCAAACATAATGTCCATGAAGCTATGGGGGGGGGGGGGGGGGGGGGTGTAACCTTCTCTGTAGTCTCGAAAGGTTATTCACATTAGCATCTTGGGCACAACTGTGGTGGGGCAGTTGCCCCATGTTTCATTCGAACATCAAGTTTTCAAGTTTTGCTTTTAGACTGGGGGCAAATTTCATCGCAAAGAGATTTTCTGAGCTACCTCCTCCATATTGGAGTTATTTCTCAACTCAATTAAGAAGTTGATTTCTTTAAGATTCAAGACATGAGGAAATTTACAGGCTCATACAGACAACACTCTCATTAAGGATGATACATTTTAAAAAAAAAACAAAAAACAAAAAAGTTGCCAAATGTTGCAACTATATCGCTAAGAAAAAGTACGGTTCATCTCCATCTACACCCAAGTATCAAGAAATACAGCATCCCTAACACCCCATTCTTGGTTTAACAAAGAAATTATATTAATGTTTAGGCATGATAATGCATGCTTTATTTTAATATCAACAATATTTTTAATTTAATTTAAAAAATTGAGTCGAAGGAATATAAGAAATTAAATATTATATGTGTGTGTGTGTATAAGAATTTTATGATATCTGTTTAAATCCCTGAATAAAAAAATAAGTGGGGATACATACCACTCAATTCATATGTATTTATATATCTAGCACCCCTACTTAATCTTTTTGCATTTATATCACCCAAATTTTTTATAACGCATATAAAATATCACTTTCCTTACATCTAAAAAGTGACTTCCACCCTTTCATGCATAGTTAAGGTGGCATATACGTAAAAATAAAAGTTTAGATGTTAGATATGTATATACATAGGAATTGAATGGTATGTATGTAAATGTTCCAAGAAAATAAAATATAAAAAAAAAGATTGTTGTTAAGGGTACCTGTGAGAAAGCAGGGCCAGCCTTTGGGTCAGTGTACCAATAGAACTGGCCTTCATGTGTGCTGAGGCTGAGGGCTATAGAAAAAAACATGAATAGTGAAGGCCTCCACACCTCAGGGCACCTTATTGTCCTTTGCATCCCTAATATTGCCTCCCTCACCTTCTCCCCTACCTAGATGAAATAAATTTTATTTCAAAAAAAAAAAATATTAAAAGTAATCAAAATTATTATTATAAAACTAAAATATATGCTAATGTTACGCTTCGGAAAATGCATTCTACGTAACTGGTATGACTGAATTGCATCTTAAGTTGTCACCCAATATGTTCTAGATGAGCATGCAATTCAAGCACCTTAGTCTCTAATACAGATATAATATCCTCCATCTGGTTGATCTTCTTCGATTTCCCTTCAATACTAACGGCTAAGAAACCGTTATACATCTCCTATGCACTTTAACTAATGAACTTCTTCCTCATGGCTATAGGGTTTAATCACAACTCTATTTCAGGAATTGAATTCTTTTTACTTTCTAAAAATTTTTTGTAGTTGAAAGCTGCTTTTTTAACAACTTCTCGTGTTAAAGTGCGATGACTACAAGAAAGCTGCTGTCTGATTTTTTAGAAAAAAAGAAATATTAATAATTCGGAGTGCCGATTCCTAAAAAATTATTTACTTCACTTTAATGTGCAATTATTAATATAAAATATAATAAAAATTATATATTATTCTTTGGACATCAATGGATACCAATTAGAATTTTAAATTTGACAAATTGGTCCTAACCAATTTTTTTCTTAAATATTTAAAATTTTTACATTTGTATCGATCTATAGTAATAAAAGAATAGTGCAATTACATATATACCCACAATTTTTATGTATTAAGATATACAACACCTAAACTTTAATTTTTACATACACATCACTTTACCCATGCATGAAAAGGTGTATTTCCTTTTTTAAATGTTAAAAATGGAAATATTTTTGATTTGATATGAAATGTATAAAAAGTAAAAATTAAGGGGTAGATATGTAAATAAATAGGAATTGGGAGGTATGTATGTAAATTTCCCTTTTATATACATATTACATTAAAAATATCAGTCCTATTAATTTCAAAAAAGTGACACGACTTTAAAACTTAGGTAAAGTGGCATAAATGTAAAAATTAAAATACGTGCTAAATGTGTAAATACATAGGAATTGTGTGTTATGTCTGTAAATCTTCGTAATGGAATTGATTAAAGGATTGGATTTACGGTTTTTAAATATATTTTAAATAAATTTATATTATACTTATTTTAAATTTATCTTAACAAATAAAAAATATTGAGCATATTATAATCCTTTTTTTTTCTTTATTGCAAAGGATTTGTTCAGGTAAAACTGAACATAAAAATAGAAATAAACATAAGGATAATTTGTCAATCGAATATTGATTTAAGCCAATTTGTATTGTATATTTTCATTTCTAATCATCCCAAAAAGAAGAGAAGTCCTTTTGAGTCAAAATTTGTTTTATGGATCACACCCTACATATAGAGTACTGCATGGATGTGACAGATAGAGAGAGACGGGGAGAGAGGGGAATTAAGAGCACTGTGAAAAAAGTGAGGGTAAATTCAGTAGTTCTTTTTGAAGAAATGATACCTAATTTATAGGTTTTGGGGTATCTAATAAAACTATATATTTGTTGTTCTTTTAATAAGAAAATTAAAAGTCATAATTACACCCTTTATATATTTGTAACCGACTCCGACACCCTTTCACATCCACAACTGGCATTGGCTTGAAGAAGGGCTTTTAATGATTTGTTACCCTTGTCAATCGGTCGGCTAATACCTTTGTTCGGTCGGCATACATTTTGGTAGCTGAAAGGTCATTTCTTAACTCTTTTAATGAAATCCCTAGTAGAGGTCCTCATATTGTAAGGGTGTACTTAGATCGTCAAGCAGAGGGTGTATTACAGTAATCTGACTGACAGCTCTCCTTGCATAAGGGGTCTTCTCAGAGGATTAGAATGTTATTTTGTGGAGTTCCCTTTGGCTTTGTGATGTTTCAGAATCAATTGAGGTATCTAGTTACGAATGATTGTCCCTCAAATTATGTGCCACCTATTGTTTCATTCGGCAGTGCTTCTGTTCGGTCGGCTCATAGTTTCAACCGAAGAAAACGACATTTGGCATTTCCTTCTTTTGACTATATTGATATAGTCATTTGGTGTTCATAAGCAAAACCCGCTGAATTTTCTCAAGATTCTTGCAGTCATACTTTTGATATACATATTTAATTCGTTGATTCTCTTTTTAAAAATAACAACTTCGATAAAAATATGAGAATTAAATACAAAAACTGACTTCTTTAATGTGTAATACATACTTTTAATAATTGAACTTCCTGGATTTTCATGCCCTCTGTCTCTATAAATAGGGCGTGATCAACACTTCTTCATCACACCTTTTGAATTTCCTGCCCTTCAATCGATTATAAACAGTAGAAATTTATAGCGAGTAGCAAGAAATCTGTAAATGAGGTGGCCGTGATGAAGGCCTTCAGAATTTTGACCAAAAAAATTTGCCCTCCTAAAAACACAGGAGAAAAAAAGAAATCTGAAAGTAGTTGGCCCACAATAAAGAAGAATCTCGGGGGCGAGGGCCGACTGGTGGTGGCAAAGAAGTTAGATAGAGAAGGCTGGCTAACTGGTTCGAAGAGCCCAAAAGGAGGGAGCCAGTAGGAGAGAGAGAAGCAGATCAGGCAAGTGGTCTAGAAGAAACAAAGGGTGGAGGAAGCGACTGAGTTGTCTAAATTGATGTCGCTCTATCGTGAGATGGGAAGTATGGTTGACATTCATACCACTGGTATGAAGGTCCTTGCCCCAGCTCCAATCCGTGAGCGGCTGGTTTAGTAACCGCTCCAGGCAATCATAGAGGCCTAGGTCCAGTCGCACAAAGATGCAACTTCCTTTTCTTCAGTTAGTGAGGCCAAATAGGCTCTTGTCCAACTGCTTTCTAATGAGAGGTTCCACTCATCTGAGATGAAGCGACTGATTGATATGGGAAAATTTAGTTTTCTTTGACTTAATCAATTTTTTGCTTTCCCTTTTTATGACATTTGATTATTTTTATATAAGAGATTTTACATATTATCAACCCATTGAAAATGGGTGTCAGCCAACCCTCTGCTCTAGAGGTGACCAAAGGATCGTCAACTCTGACCCACGGTGTAAGTGCCTCGGAACATCTGTCTGGTGAATGTTGAAAGGGAGACTGACGATCAGTGAGGATCTCTGGCACCGCTCGCTCGTCAGATGGACGAAACGATAGACTCCTTCGCCGAGAAAGCTGCCCAGCAGAGGGAGGTAGACATAATAGACCTGAAGGAAGAGCTGGTGTTCCTTCAGATGGGCATAACAATTCTCCATACGGAGCTGACCACTTTTCTGACAAAGGTACGAGTGACTGGTTCCATCTCCCGAGTTCAGGCAGAGGAAGATAGTGTCAAGATGTTTAAATTTAGAGGTTGAGTGTTGTACCTGCGTCTGGTGAGTTAAGGTCTTGTATTTCCTGAGGCGACAAAAGACCCAACTGTAAAATATTTTTTGTTATAAATAAAAATGTAATTTTGTGAATTTTTAAACTATTGTCATTTTCTATTATGAAATTTCATGCTGATTTGATGTAAATTTCTGAAAATAGAGGTATGGATTTGAGGTGTTTTGAGTTCCCAGGATGCCATTTATATAAGGGTCAAGATGAAAATGAGGTTTATGCTTTTCAAATTTTCATTTTGCTTCCCTTCAGTCGTTTCTTGTCACTCCCTTGGGTGGTTTTCTTCACTCGTGTCATAGCTTCCAAGTATTCTTCATAATTATTCGGTTGGATGGTAGTGAACAAAAGGTCTACTCTTACATCGTTTGATGCAGAGCGCCTGTAAGACACTTGCGTATACAACACAAGTGTGGTGCTCAAGGCATTGGAGCTAGAGATGAGGGAAACTAATCAGTTAGACGAAGATTTGATCTTCTATCAGTAACAATTTATGTGGGGGTTTCGACAATTATTTTATATGATATCCAGTCAACACTCAATCATTACAGAGTCATCCTTGTGTAGATAAAGCCAAATCCAATCGTGAAAGTGATGAATTCCATTATCTACTTGCAATAGATGAAGATCCATGTTGACCTCATTTTTGTAAGGTCTTTCTTTTCCTCTCTTTAGAGCCTAGGATCTAGTCATAGGACTTTTCTTTTGACTATCCTAGAAGCCTAGTGATGGGACCCACCCCTTTTAGGACTTCAAACCACTTCTTGACTCTTTTAATGAAGTTTCATATGGGTGGTCTTAAATCCTCAACACTTGATTGAGTTGATTGAAACCAACATGTGAAGACTCAAAAAATGAGTTCCCATGCGATCATGAGGCCTTAGAGACACCCTTTTTGACCTTGAGTGGCTTGCTCACACATTCACATCACCACACCTCACTTCCTCTCACCAAATTTGCTTCAAACTTCCCAAATCATCAATCTACTCTCACCATTTGTTGTTATAATTCTCATAGAACTCAAATTGCCAAATTCACATCAATTTACATCAAATTCGATTTAATATTCAAATTCATATCCAATTTCATCAAATTCCAAGCTTAAATCCAATTTTACAAAACTTACATTCCATAATTCCCTCGTGACAATCCCTAGGTACATCAAACCATCAATTATCTTGTGTCATGTGAATATGAGTTGAATTGAAGTGGGAAAAGAGATTTAGGTTAGGTTTAGGCTTGATCTGGGCTAAACCCGACCAATAACACCACAATTCTATCAAAATAACACCACTTCAATGCCACAGTAACACCACACACCAAACTGCAACAAATCCCTACAAAAACAACAAAAAATCGTGGCTTAACACCACAATATAACCAAAAAACTATTGCAATAACACCACCGCCCTGCCGTCGCAATAACACTATGGTTCCGTGGCAAAACCACCCAATAACAGAACAATACAACAACAACAAAAAAAATCAACCGCAATAACACCGCGGACCCACCTCCGTAATAACACCGTTGTTCCACTACAAAACTTTGCCAATAACACTACAATACTACCACGATACACTTGCAATAATGTCGGCTTCACGACTGCACGTGATAACACCCACT